AAAGTTTGTTGATACGTAGACCTAGGTTGATTCATTTACTTGTCATTTATTGTAAGTTTGTTGATACGTAGACCTAGGTTGATTCATTTACTTGTCATTTATGTAAGTTTGTTGATACGTAGACCTAGGTTGATTCATTTACTTGTCATTTATTTCTCCATCATTGTACTATATAGCTTTTGTTTCAATTTCAATTGTTATTTTTTTCAGAAATGAAATTGGAATAGTTCAAAACGTGACAAATGTGATGGAATGTCCAGTTGAACGTGAGTTAACATCTTTACTTATTTCTGATATTTGACATTACAGTGTTTTAAATATTACCTCACAAGTACTACATACAGGATATATAACATTGACACCGTCTTCCAAATACTCTGTGATTTGAGAAAATGACAAGTGATTTGATTCTGTTCTACGACACTACTAGCTGTATTAATAATTGCATTCCTTGTTGAGGTCATAGATCATTTCGTTTTTCATCATTAATTTTGTTTTCTTGTGGAATGTTTGTAATTGTGTCCACACCAAACCATACCATAGCGGACAGCTGTCAGTGCGTGGAACCTACTACTGGTTAGTCTGCATTTATTGTTATAATTATTTATTATTTGATATTGCACCATATACGTTTTTATGCTACTCTTGATCACAATGTTTAAGACGTGACTGGCTCTGTTCCATCTGATAGCAATGCTAAAACCAGATCAGCTCATCTCCCCTGGGAGCATTGGTTAAACCTTTTTTTGGCTCTGTTCCTTAGTCACAATTCTAAGTCAGTATGGGTCAGCTCCACCTGGTAGTGTCACATTGTTATATGCTGTTGAATTAAATATTGAAATAGGTTAGAATTGTTGTAGTATATTAACACGTGGTTTCCTATTATAAGAAAACCTGATTAGCAGCCTAACCACGCTTGTATTTTAATGTATTCTGCCGAGTGGTATAGTGCCATGCTGTGGTGAAACAATCCCACATGGACATATTAAATTACGTTGATGATAACTTTTGTTATTGGGCTGATCTGTGTATTGTGTGTGAATTGCATGTTCAAATTCAATTAATTTGGATGAACATTCATCTCCAATAGGAGCACATTTGAACAATAATTGTTGTATACTAAATCATTAAAATATCTATTTTGACTATGTAAACATCTATGCTATTTGTCACAAGGCGGAGTCAAGTGTGGCTACCAAACAAGACTGCCCTTGTGTTGTGGGTTCTTTCCCCCGCTGCTACTTTTAGCATTAATTGTGACTTGTATATTTGTATAAAAGCAACAAGCAATAACTGGTGACCCTAGTGTAGTCAGTGTGAACATACAACAGACGCAATAATATACTAGCACTTAACGGTTTATTAGGTATAACTGGAACAGATTAAAGGTCAATATTAATTAAGTCACACCACACAAGGTTCAATTCCCAGCAGGAATACAAGTCGGACTATAACCCTGTGCGTGTTAACCAATTCTCAACGAGTTAGAGCCCGTACAGTAACATGGAGCTTACATCCAAGTGTAAACAATGTACGAGTGAATCGTTTAAACTGACGCCGTTCCAATCATTAAATATTGCCAAATTCCCAGCGTCTGACCAGCCTAATTGGGCAAAACACGTCAATAGAATGACGACAAAGCAGTACAAAATTACATCAGTTATATAATAATTTGATGAATTAAATAAATGAAGCGCTCAAAATATGCATGAAATATGTAACCCTAACGTAGTGTTACTGACCAGTATCATACGACGAATGTTAATGTCTTGTAAGCAAAACTTGCAGTTGAACTTAAATAATTAATTAAACGTGTTCAACCACGTGTTATTTACGCGAAGACGTACCGCTGGCTTCCTCGGGGATACACAGTAAGTTCCGTCGATGTGTTGTCTCAATCTTCGCCACTTTGCAGCCAGCAATGGTTAAAGTCAGTTCGCCGTAATGTCAGTTCTACGATAGGTCCGTTGAGACTTGTAACTTCTCTGCATTAGTTGTGTACGAGCTTCAGACAATGATGTCCAACGTGGTTACGCAACATGGAATCGCCCGAGCATGCCAAGAAGGCGTAGTTTTATAGGTATCAATGTCCAGGTGCACTTACTCGGTATTCAAATTCTTGACAAGACGATCTGTTCTCTGGACCATACCATTTCAACAAGGGGTGTATGACCCATCATTTAAATAGACACTTAAATTACACAAGTATAAAATGTATCTAGGCATCCGTACAGCATTTCTAGTTACCTCGTGACACTATTAATGGAGAAAATATGAAATTCATTATCAAGTTCAATTATTTCAATTATCTCTTACAATTCGTGTTGTACAACAGAATATACCGAGATCCTAAGGATTGATTGAGAGTGGCTGTAGAAGCTAAAAGCATACAAACTACTTTAAATAGGAGAATTAATCTTCTCCTGGATTTATTTTCACTTGATTATTGCTTTTGCATTTTTTCAGTTTTCTAAAAGTAAATGTCTTGCACATATTGCACTGTAATTTGTACAAATTGTTTTGAGATTTTAGCAATGCACATAAATAATCATAAATAATTAACAAGTAAAGATCAGTGTGTCAAGTGAATGCTTATTTGTGTCCACTATCTCTCTTCTATCTCCGATATCCATGTAGGCCGTCAAACAACTCAGGTAACAACGCCAACTAAAGCACGAGCATATGACACATCCCTTAAATCACCATTGTATACTGATCACAACATACCTGCTCAATCAGAATATCCCATAGAGATTACATCACAAGATCCAGTAACAACGGAAACAAGCCACGTCATTGGTCCGCCAATTGGTAAAGTTTCAACCACTTATATCTGTGTTGTTGCATGTATAATGTAGGCTTAGCCAATTCATTTTAAATTTGTTTGTACGAGTAAATATCATTATACAAATTCCAAGACAAATATACAGAGCAAGGTTTCATTAGATTCACCGTGTTTCTTCGCATACACAGAAAGATGGATTTATCTAAGCTTTGTTTCGTCTCAATTTCATGACAGAACCACCCGAACATAAAACGATTTTCGGAGTAAAAAATGACTATAGTGTTGAATGCATTGCAATTACTGGTTGGGTTGTTGTAGCTGCTGTTATTGTTATATTTATTATTGGTTATTTCTATGTGACAAAGAATAGAAAGATTGAACGACAAACTGAAGGAGGTAGGTTTTACTTTATCAATCATATCAAATGTCATTTTTTTAGCGGAATATAAAATCCCAAAACTCCAGTTTTTACTTTTTGAATCAAACAAACGTTGTGTTAAATGTATAAGGTTCAGAAAACATCAAACTTTAAATCGCAAGTATGATTGTTTTGATATCATACATAAATGTACTTCAAGCTGGCCTCTATTGTCCATTTCGTGATTATATCTGCAATTCTCTAATTGAAATGTGCATTGCTAACACTGAGAGGATGCTTGTTTTTAAAGGAATACTTCAGAGAACATGTAGATTACATTTCAATCATATAATTTTGGCTTGCATACTGTTTCTAGCCATTTGAGTCCAGTATAAATACCTAAATACTTTACATCCTATGAAAACATCTAATTTTACTTTTGTCTATGTGAGGGTTTGCTTTTTGTTTGTTGTTGTTTTTTATGCATATATATACTTATAGTCAATCATCGAAAATAGTGTAATTTTGTGTTTGAAACCAAACAAACCCCAAACCCACACCCCATACATCCTTGAATTAAAGTGGGCCACTCCCTGAGGCACAGTGTCTCCATTGTAGTTACATAGAATAGAGCCAAAGGATACAAGTGCCACTCGCATTTTATAACGCTATTTTTAATTGATTGTTTCTGTTTCCGGACAAACAACCGCAACGGGAAGTTCACTGTGTGTGAGTGGATTCATCCGCCAACTGATGGAAATGTAGTACTAATATATATGAACCGTTTCAACTGATGCAAGTTGTGGTTTTATTTGTTTAAATAAGATTACAAATATTTTATTTTCAAAGATTAATAATATTTGTTAACTGTTCTGTAAAAAAAATATTCTGGTGATTCTGCCTTGAGTTTGACCCCAATTTGGACCAATATATTATATCAGAGGTACATTCCAAGTCCCGTTCCATACGTAAAGGTGTCCGTGACACTGCAATAACGCCACGTCCATTCAATCATTCTGTCTTTTTCAATATTTGTGTGCAAAGTGATAACAAAAAAAAGAAAGTTTTATATTCGTCAGGTAACCAAAGAAAATAGAAAAAAAATGTGAACTTGATGGACCAATCGGAATCGTTGAATCATTATTAGCTACTTGTGGCTTGGTGCGTCATGACACTTGAGACGGCTTCGTCGAAGGGCTGTCAATAACGAGAACGTCGTCAAACACGAAAACACAAGTCAAATATGCTCTATGTGATACTAAGTTCGTTATTTTTCAAAAATAATAACGGGTTGTATTGTTGTATGTGTCCGGTAATGTAGTAGTTGTATTGTTATTAGTAAAACATACGGCGTACAGTACAGCAACGTCGGTAGTAGATATGTTGCGATGTGTTCCTCAAACTGGTCAAATGAGTCTGTTAATAAATTAACAATAATTACAATAATGTGACACTTTCTGTACATGTATACATACAATTATTGTATTAATTAATACATTATGATACAACTATACTTAATATACTGCTAGTATGTCACATTGGCATGTCTTTTGCTTTGAGCCACAAGTCATAATATTGTACGTCCGAACTTGCCTGAAGATCACAGTTAATTTTTGATTGTATCAAATTTATTCTAATGATGAGTTTGTATACTGACTGACAAAATCGCTATACAAAAAAACAGACTAGTGTGCATATCTAGACTAATCCTAATAGAATGCTTTACATTGAATATTTGTATTGTGATAATACTCATTCATATTCAATCATGAATGGAGAATACAGTTATATTACGCAAAAGTGTTGGCAAGCCATACAACTGCAAATAAAAATCTGCAGGCAATATAACTTGAAGGTTACACTACGCAATGTTTTGTTCATATCTGATATATCATGTTAGAAGGATGAAAAAAATAAATATATGGGAAAACTTCTAAATTTATATTTTATGCTTATTTAAAAAAATAGATTGAACATGAGACCCACATATTTCACATACTTTTGAATAATACTAAAACTATTAATTATAGACATATTTTGGTAGATATGTACTAAACTGTGTGCGCATATAAAATAACTAACGAGTAACATACTACTACCACAGCATTAGGTTATTTATTTGCATAATGTTCCACAATTTCAAAATGGCTGAATTTGATGCAGTGCATGGCACATTATAGTATAAAAATCAAGGGGGTAACGGGCACAAAAGTACCTTTGATTTGATTTGCCTGGAATATTTTGTTGTTTCTTTTAATCCAATCTGCACTTATTTCATGACTTATTATTTTGGTGTCTTCATCATATCAAGGATATGATCATCTTTGTTAATCACTATTAGATAAGTCAGATTGACATGTCAGGATATGATATCTACTAACAACATAAATAGCTGCTTTATCTTGCACATGTTAATTCATGAGGTCTTTCAATACATAACTTGGGCTTTTAAAGGTTTCGCTCACACAAAATTTCCAAGTAAAAAATACGCAATATAAACAATATAAATTTTCTGTTACCATCGTGTAGGCATGAAGTCCTCAGTACCAGCAACCACCACTTCCATGGTTCAAACCACACCAGTCATTCCCAAAACCACCAATTCTCAAAACACTCAGGAAGAGACGCCATTGAGGCGAGAGAAACCACCAGAATCTGAGAAACCCAAGAATTATGCTGCTTCTATCAATGACAGACGGGCAGTTAATGATCAGAGAGCGTCCTCGCTGTCACAGAACAGGCGATCACAACCACATGACAGTTTTAAAGATGTTAGTGGGGAACTAGAAAATATTCACAGTAATAGCAGTCATATACAGTATGGACCAACAAGTGGTGGTGAAGTAGCACACGTCTGAGATCAGAAATAAACACAATGCAGGTTGTAATGGGGTATACAGTAGTGTGTAATCTAATTTGAAAAAACTATCCATATTAAAGTAGGTGAGTTGAAACATGAAATGAATGACAAATATATAAACATAATTTTTAATAAAGGTACCTCAAGTTGTGGTACGCCGTAAATGTGATATTTTGTCATTATGTTATGCAGTCCCGTATTTATGTTATGTAGTGTTATGTTATGCATCCTTTGTGTTATGTAGTCCAGTCGTTATGTTATGTACTTCTTTCATTATGTTATGCGGTCCCGTATTTATGTTTTGTAGTGTTATGTTATGCATCCTTTGTGTTATGTAGTCCAATCGTTATGCTATGTACTTCTTTCATTATGTTATGCAGTCCCGTATTTATGTTATGTAGTGTTATGTTATGCATCCTTTGTGTTATGTAGTCCAGTTGTTACGTTATGTACTTCTTTCATTATGTTATGCAGTCCCGTATTTATGTTATGTAGTGTTATGTTATGCATCCTTTGTGTTATGTAGTCCGGTTGTTACGTTATGTACTTCTTTCATTATGTTATGCGGTCTGTTATGTATTGCCATCTTAGTGTTATGCAGTCCTGTATCTATGTACACTTATCAAATGAATGCAAAAATAGTATGTTAATTGTACACATGCTCTGTACAGAAAAATAAACTTTTTTTGAAATGTGTAAATGACATGTATACAAAATCCATACAACAGCAGTACATTATTTATATATACACTTTATACAAATCCAATAATGTATATTCGTTGTATACTAGAAATGTACAGCTTTTCCTCAAATGATTACTAGTCCAAATATTGTATATTTTACATATACATAGAATGAACATTATCATGACAACAAACAAAAACAAATTAGGTTGAATCATGTCAGAATAAAATATAATATATGTATAAATATTTGACTTGGCATTTTAAGAAACGTTAGTACTTATTTAGGTAATTATAGAATGTACAAACAATGGACTTAGAAGCTGTGTGATAAAAAATAAACTTAATCAGGCACAATAATACGATATAGTTATACATAAACTTTACAAAAATATCAACTTCAATATTTAATTATATTGACATAAGAGTATACAAACGTTTTCAATAGATTAATTACAAGAATGCAAATTATATATAATAGTAAAATTATATTGTTACTATAAAGTACTGCATGAATTCAGTTTTTATAGAAGGAGTGTAACACATTTCGCATCAGAGTAGTTTAGAGTTTGCCTAATTTGCATATATGCATATTTAATGCGTTGATTCTGACATGAATTTGTTAGTTTGTCAGTTAATTTGTTGCGGCACCATCTTAGAAATAGCTTTCCGTGATAATTATTTTTTCTTATCCTATTGTTATACGCAACCCTACATCCCTCCCGTTCTTCTCCAGACTTAACAAGCAGCTCATATTGCCTAAGATTGTAGTTGAGGAATGTATTGTAATTTAATACTTTAATTGTAATTTTATATTGTTTTATTGAATACTTAGTACTACTTTATCTAATTGGTTTCACGAGTTCGGGGGGGGGGTTAATCCTGTTTTATTAGCTCCGCTGTCGACTTTGCTTTGCTACTTGGTGTGTACATAACTTGGGTATACCTCACTCAGATTTGTTCATTTCATGATGATATCTTTAATTCTCAAATTTAGATGAATATTTTTGTATTTTTCGGTAAAAGTGATATTTTCGACTTATTGTTGGAAACCGCAAAGCTGATTGATATTATACATACAAGTACCTCAGGTGAACCTCATACAGATTTGTTCATTTTCTAATAATATCTTCAATTCTTTAATTGAAATGTGCATTGCTATTAACAGCAGAGCTATTTCAGTCGAGAGGCTGATTGTGTGTGTGAGTTTTGTCCATGGTGTGCCCTTGTTTTGCTAAAGAATAAATAACGCTATATACTGTACATTTGGTTTGTGTCATAAATTAAAAAAATATTCTGTTTTGGATCATAACATGAATTGCCAGTTTTTATGAACTTTTTAGTCCTCGTCAAACGTAGTTCGAAACGGGGACTTATGTTTTGGGTTCCGTTCGTCCGTCCGTACATCCATCGTCATTTCTCAGAGACGCCTGAACAGATTTTCTTCAAAGAAGGTACAAGGACATGTCATAATTAGATACGTGTGCACAACGATTTATTTTTGATGTGGTTGACCTTTGACCATTTTGTCCCCAAAACACCAAAAATCAACATTTTGTCATGTCATCAACCGTTTTTTGATGGATTTCATTCAAAATTGGCATTGACATTAGTCATGGTAAATTACTGGTGCGTGCCATTTTTTTATGATTCGATTTAAAATGATGGAAGGAAAAGGTATAATAAGGGGAAAATATCTGTCGTCGTTGTTGTCACCTGCGTCATCGTTGTTGTTAATAACTATTAATGTGAGCACAATAACTTTACTAATTCTATTACAAATTTTATCAAACTTGGTCACCTGATTCATCAGTACAAAATCTTCCCTTAGTACGAACAAAATATGTCCTGTGTGAAAATATAGTAGAAAGTAGTGGTAAAAATCCTATAACAAAAAATTAATGACTGATTACTGCTGATACACATACAAAGGTAACTGACCCCAGTGGGAATATGCAATGATGTATGTGTTCAATGAAGTAAATCATTTACCTTGTAATCAATATCATTGGTAATGTATCTCCCAAATCCCGTGGGATTATTAGTGTGGTTTTCACAGGGTTCGTTGCACTGTCTAATAAACGTTTGCAAAGATACCAATGTCAGACAATTAATACAGGCACTCCTATGAATAACCTTTTGGGTGCCAATCTTTTGATCTAGATCTGAAGCTGATAGAAAATTATGTCTGTTTAGTCTAAAGTTATCAAAACAAAAATAATGCACTCTCTGTCTGTTCAAGTTTACTTTCTATGCTCACAATTTTTGAGCATGTGATTTTTTTTGATGTGTGCACCCTGGTTGAATGCAGGTTGACATACATTTGTGATTCAAGGCTGAATTCATAGAAACCATATCTCCTCTGTAAATATTTTTGCTATACCTGAATTAATACATTATTTTTCCGTAAAAAGTAAAATGTCAGACCTGTTGATTTCTTTTAGTAGAGAGAAACATGAAAATATAGTCTGCTCTTGATTTGCGCCCTGAATTAACCGTTCTTTCATTCAGAGAGTTATTCAATATGAGCCATAACTTATACCCCCTCGCACCTCTTGCATGCAGATATGCTGGCCCCAATATGTGCCTGAATTATACACCTCGCACAGAAATATGATAATTGTATGTCCCTAATATGTGTAGTTACTCTGCGCCCAATATGAATTATATCCCACTCTCCAAACAGATGTTCTGATCCCAGTATGTGATGTGAATTATACCTCCTCAGAGACTATGAATAATAACACCATTTTAAAGAGATATTTAGTAGGACTTTTGGTAGACTGCTTTCTCACTGCTGTTTCAATCCTAAAACTTGTTTGTATTCAAAATTAATTCGTACTTCAATAATCTATGATAAAAGAAATAATATTAAATAACAAAGGGCAAGGTCACCAGAGTTCAACTATGTTGTTTTTTATAAGTGTTCTGCTTATTTTACAAAGATGATTGTACGGATTTGGGTTAAAATTTGCACAAAGGCAAGATATAATGGGCTAAATGTTCTTTTCAGTTATTTTTTGTTCTCATAAACATTTAGCCGAATGGCGGCTATTTTCGTCAAAAACGAAAAAATAACAAAATTCAAACATGTAATCAACCGTTTCTTGGACATGCCTTGACCAATTTCAGTCAAATTTGGCTTTGACATCAGTCATGGTGGCTTACTGATACTATTCATTTTTTCATGATTCGATTCAAAATGTCGGACGTGGATGCCATTGAGTATTGAGTGTTCATTTTACAGAGATAATTGTACAGATTTGGGTTAAATTTCGTACACTGGCAATACAATGGGTTAAATGTTGTTTTCAGTTATTTTTCGTTTTCATCGAAATTTAGCCAAATGCATGAACTGTTGTAATGTGACCTGAGTACATGAACTGTTGTAATGTGACCTGAGTACATGGACTGTTGTAATGTGACCTGAATTCATGAATTGTTGTAATGTGACCTGAGTACATGAACTGTTGTAATGTAACCTGGATGCATGAACTGTTGTAATGTGACCTGAGTACATGACCTGTTGTAATGTGATCTTAATGATAGAACTGTTGTAATGTGACCTGAGTACATGAATTGTTGTAATGAGACCTGGGTACATGGACTTTTGTAATGTGACCTGAACATATGAACTGCTGTAATGTGACCTGAGTACATGGACCGTTGTAATGTGACCTGAATGCATGAACTGTTGTAATGTGACCTGAATGCATGAACTGTTGTAATGTGACCTGAATGATTGAACTGCTGTAATGTGACCTGAGTACATGGACCGTTGTAATGTGACCTGAATGCATGAACTGTTGTAATGTGACCTGAATGCATGAACTGTTGTAATGTGACCTGAATGCATGAACTGTTGTAATCTGATCTGAATGATTGAACTGTTGTAATGTGACGTGAATGCATGAACTGTTGTAATCTGACCTGAGTACATGAACTTTTGAAATGTGACCTGAATT